AGTCATTGAAAAGTTCTTGAATTTTTGTTTAAAAATTGAGTGGGAACCCTGATGGAGGCTCTTTATCCATTATTAAGATGTAAAAATCTTGGTGGTTATCAAGTATATGGGGGGGGGGCATCGTTTGCTCCTCTATCGGGACGAACTTGAAAATCGTGGGGAAAATACTTCTGTCTTGAAAAAAATATAATTACATTATTAGAAAAAAAAAAATTTTTTTTTTTAACTAAGAATAAGTTACAAACATAAAGGCAAGAATGTATTCTTTTTACTTGCACATTACCACCAACTTCCTGTTGACTTTTCCTCAGAAAATTCTGAGGGACAAGTCTTTTGTTTGTGTCCATATATGGAAAGTTATTCAACACCTACGAGGGATTACTTAACCACACTGTACTGACTTTCTCAGCATTTAATAACGAAAAGTATTTTCTTAAACGTCACATCGTTTAGCGTAAGGAATTTCGATTTTTAAATTATTTAAAAGTAGTTTGTTCTATCAATCTTTTTTTTTTATTTGCTCTTAAATAGTGTATATATGTAAATAAATTCAATTATAATTGCTCATATATAAGTTAAAATAGACTTGTAATACTTATACCTACCAAGTTGTTTTATGATCTACAATAAAGAGGATCTCTATTTTTTTTTTAGTTAAAATGCCCGTACTTATTCCATCAGAAATTTTCTATTTATCAGGAAAAGACATTTTTTTTTTTTTACTATAATAAAAAAATTATGATTAACAAAATTGACATACAAATCACGATTGTAATCTCTACTCTCGTCGGAAAAGTTCATCTTCTTGTCGAGAAAATGATTTTAAAAAACCCAACATAAATAAGAATCTATTACACCGACTTTTATTTATTTATTTTTTTTTTTGTGTGTGTGTTATTGTAGACACCGCTTTCTCCAAAATTGCGAGATGGAGGGAGGAATGGTGAAACTGCTCAGCAACTCCTTTAATCGGCATATAGTTCGTTTATATTATAACGAAATTTATAAAAGATTGTAATTTTTCTATTTTGTTATAACTTAAATAATAAATTCTCTAAAGCCGATATACAGACGTGCCAACTCTCCCGCATTTTGCGGGAGTCTCCCGAATTTTGAGTTATTCTCCCGCCCTCCGGAATTGATTTGAAAAACTCCCGAATTTTACTGCGATCGACGGCCAAACTCAAAATTACCTAATTTTTCCGCGAGTGCGAAAGTAAGTTTTTCTTTCAGCTTGAATTCCATCCCCTCTTATCAAACTACCATCTGCCTGAAGCGTAGCTGAACATGCTTTATTTTCCCCCCTCTTCAACGTTACCTCTAAAAACACTCCTATTTCACCCGCCCCCTTACACTGGGGGCGGGTGAAATCTTCCTCTTCTTTCGTGTGGAGTTGAATGCAATGACGTCACATGTCGTTATCGANGCACAGCCGACCCGATTTCGAGTTTACTACTACTAATATTCAACTCCGTAGCCTTGTCATTTTGAACCCAATCCAGAAGACAAGGGAACTGATAGATTAGTACCCAGAGGTATTCATTTGTTCCGAGAACTTGGAGGACTTTGTGACCCCGACAAATTTAACATGCACCAGTCACCATTTTATACATGGGTATTCTTCTACCGGCTGGATTCAAACTCCCATTCTCACGAACACAAGTCCAATGCCCTATCAACCAGGCTATCCCGGCCAAATTTATTAGTTCATTTTATAACAGTCATTGCACAGCCGACCCGATTTCGAGTTTACTACTACTAATATTCAACTCCGTAGCCTTGTCATTTTGAACCCAATCCAGAAGACAAGGGAACTGATAGATTAGTACCCAGAGGTATTCATTTGTTCCGAGAACTTGGAGGACTTTGTGACCCCGACAAATTTAACATGCACCAGTCACCATTTTATACATGGGTATTCTTCTACCGGCTGGATTCAAACTCCCATTCTCACGAACACAAGTCCAATGCCCTATCAACCAGGCTATCCCGGCCAAATTTATTAGTTTATTTTATAACAGTCATTGTACAGCCGACCCAATTTCGAGTTTACGACTACTAATATTCAACTCCGTAGCCTTGTCATTTTGAACCCAGTCCAGAAGACAAGGGAACTGCTAGATTAGTACCCAGAGGTATTTATTTGTTATGAGAACTTGGAGGACATTGTGACCCCGACAAATTTAACATGCACCAATCACCATTTTATACATGGGTATTCTTCTGCCAGCTGGATTCAAACTCCCATTATCAAGAACACGAGTCCAACGCCCTATCAACCAGGCTATCCCGGCCAAATTTATTAGTTTATTTTATAACAGTCATTGCACAGCCGACCCAATTTCGAGTTTACGACTACTAATATTCAACTCCGTAGCCTTGTCATTTTGAACCCACTCCAACAGTCCCTGGAGCAGGTCCGTTATATTAATACTGTTTGTAAAAATAAAAAGAACATTTCGTAAGCTGATATTATTTAATTGATGTTTATATTAAAAATATTTCTTCATTATTTTTGCTTTCTTTTTAATTATTATAAGTACATTTGTTAAATTTTAGTGCAAGAAGAAAAATTGTCTTTATAAAGTATATTTTAAAGTATATATTTAAATATATTTATAGATTAGATTTTTAAGGATTTATTAATGGGTCTATTAAATATCAGATGGAGTTATAAATGTCATACGTGTTTAAAGTATCAGCTCTGCTCTTGATGGTGTATACTGGTTAGGATATGAAAGAGCAATTGTCCCGGGGCATCCCGCCAAAACGAGCATTCAACATATCAATGGAACACGCTAAAGCTTTATATCAATTAGCAATTAAATTTAGATAATTACAATTGTAGAATAATTATCTTATTATAGAAGGAAATGTTTTGAAAGACAAATATCTGTTAATGTTTAACATTTACTCAACGGAAAAACAGAACCAATATTGAAATCTAACGAATTTATTATTTTTAATTTCTGATAAAGTTTGCGACAGAAAAAAAAATTAAAGCCTGATAGATTTCAGAACTTTAGAAGCACCTTCTAGTTATACTATTCAATTAAATAGGTTTCGATGTCTTTCATCCCGGTCTCATTAGGGATTCAGCATATTTCGATATCATTTTTGTTTCGTTCTTACTTAATATTAATTTGTTTGCGACAGTTAATTTGTATACCTCTTTTACTACATTTTCGAGGAGTTTAAAAACATAATGTCATGCCTCCATGTTGTGATGGCGCTGTCATCAAGGTAGATGTTGTAAAAAGACAGAGGAGGGAACGCTCTGATGGAGAGCGGAAGCGAATCGTTTAGGTGGATTGGTTATATTAATTTTCTTCAAACTTCGTTTTTTTTTTCTTTGTTAATAAATATTTGTGTTGTTAACTGGTTACCATTTATTTGGCCAATTGTGATTTTGGGAAGTATCTGAGTGAAGAAGGGAAAAGGAAGAAAGAATATACGTTATATCACACATAATATTGAGGATTTTAACTGAAATGAAATTTGCTTTTTTTGTATGCATCTTTTATTACGTCATCATCACACCCACACGCAACTGTCTACTCTAAATAACGTTATATAGAATGAGATAGCAAAACAAACGTGTGTAGCTATTTAAATTCTTATTCAAAAGTATTAGTCATTTTTTGTTTTTGAACTGACAATTTCTGTCCTTTTTTAGATGTTTTAAAGTGCTGTTTAAAACTGCTGCATATCACATGAAAGCATTAAATATATCATTTGTACAATTTTAATATAAAATAAAAGGAAATTCTGATCCTTAGAAACAGATATTAAATAGTCTGATGATCGAATGATGGGGCAAAAAAAAACTTTTTTACCTTTGAAACTAAAAAATTGTTTATTTATAAATAATTTATTTATAAATAATTTATTAATACTCAAATTGCTTGAAAGATGACATGTTCCCTACTAGTAACAACGAAGTTTTTTGTTTTATTCAGTCATTTATTTACATTTATTATGTCCGTCAATGTTAAAAAGAAAGAAAAATGCATTTTCGGCTGAGGCCCCCAGCTCCGAATAAAACTTTAAAAAAAGAGGGGGGAAAGTAGGATCTAGGGGCCCTTGTCATCTCGGGGCCCCAAGCTACAGCTTAATTAGCGTAGATGTAAATCCGGCCTTGGTGAGTGTAGTCATAGGTAGAAAGTTCTGTTATACGCCAAATGTTGCCCATTTCAATCGCCAATTGATAAATGAATAACGCATCCTCCTGTATTTCGTGGCAGACGATTACACAACCTTTGTGGTCTTGTGCAAAGGGCTATTAGAGATTTCTAATTATTGAGAGGAACATATACCGACCGTTCCCCTCTCCAACAACGCCCATGCTTTATATTGCAAACAATGCAAATATAATGACATTGTAAGTATGCTTTTTCTAGCTGAGGCCAAAGAAAAAAAAACGAAGTATTTTCCTGGAAGCTTTTTTAAGATAAATTTTAACAAATAACGTCATTTGTACTTAGCTTTATTCGCCATAGCAATGCTCGGATACGAAATTTGGGGAGAAGATCAGCTCCATATCTTGACTCTCCCTCCTTCCCTCTCCCCAGCTGTATAGGAATGTATTACGATATTTTCCCTTCTATAATGTTTTTCGCATTCAATTGACAAAAATATTTTCTAACGTTTCTTGCGGAAGTATGTTCAATGCAGTTTTGAGATCTCTATAGTTTCCTAACTTAAAAAAATTTAATGATTTTGAAAATCCAGCCGAAGCTAACGAACTTCAATCTCCTATAATGACTATCTGCAAGCTAATGGTAAAAACTTGGCAATACAAAGATAACAGATGCAGGCCTAAGTTGAAAGCAGGCAAAGTGTTGCCATAGGAAAAAAGTTCTTCTGATTTGCGCCACCTGTAGGCCAATTCTATCACCAATACGATTCTCCATCCATTTGCAACAAGTTTTAGTGTGAATAGTCCTTAAATTTTAATTTTATATCGATTGTTAGAGAATTTATCGCATTTTATTCTCCAATCGATTCTATTAACAATCGTCTGCTAAAGTTGTTTTAACAGCGTGTGAAAATCAAAATAAAATTAAACAGTGAAGTGTTATTTTTCGCTAGTTCGCGCGTAGCTTTAAAAAGTGTTCAAATAATTCAACAGGGCATGCTTTAGAAAGTATATATTCACTTGAAGTTCAGGAATACCGGCCTTCATGTATTCTACTGACTGTAAAACATGTTTACCTTTTTTAGTAAACGTTTTAGAAAAAGTTCCCAAGTCCCCAAAAGAAACCAGTGCGACAGTGCCTCTCGCTATAGTAAAAATGTGATACCTTGTAAAGTTATTCTTTTAGATGGATCAGCACTTAATGTTGAAGTTACTGTAAGTTTTATTTATGAAAGTTTATTTTTTAAATTAATGTTGTGATAAAAATCTTCGGTTCTATTTTTCTGGTATTCAACAGGTGTACTGTAATGTTAAAGCTAGTTTTTTTTTTTTCCAATTTAAATGGCTTTTAGGTTTAATTTTTAATTTAAAACAACTAAAAGTTGAACTAATTTTGCTCATTACTTGCCTCAAAAACCTATAAGCACCTGAAAATGGATATTTTCATTTAAAGGAAAATTATATTTATATATAATTCTGATGTGAAATTCAAAATTTTATTATCTTAGTTTCTTTTTTAAATACTTTCATCTTATTAGGAAAAAAATTACATTATTGAAGTAAAATAGGATAATTCATAAGCAGAATTTGATAATATTTAATTAAAAAGAATATAAAATAGCACATGCATATAATAAATCAAGCATAAAGGCATTTTTTCCCCCTGTTTTTAATAAAATCTGCAGTTTGGCTCCTGACAATGCTATGCATGACATTTAGAGACAATACATCTTGAGCCCATTTATGCATAACGTCTAGATACTAATTTCCATATTTTATTCTGCAGATTTTAAGCAATATTTATGTTTGCAGTTTTATCTATATTATGACTTGTAGTTTTAATGATATATCTTATTTTTGTCAACATATGTAATGTACCATTTTTTTGCTAAAGTTGGTGAATGGAAGTGTTCTAGAACTCTGAAATGGTTCACTGCAGGTTTTTTGAGAATGACAATATAATATTTAAGTATTATTATGAACTTAACATTCATCCATATTCTATTTTTAAGAATTAAATTATAGATTTCCATAGTGTGATTGGTAACTGCCATCGCCAAATGGATTTTAAAATTACTATTGTTTTAAAAAAACATGTCCTGCAAGAAAACATGCACAGGGTAGACTATGAGTTATACCCTTTGGGTGTATTTCTTTTTCGTGATCTGTTGTGACAACTATAACTGCCAAGCTGCAAAAGGAATTTTAAATGTGCCAATTTTTATAACGAAAAAACCTATGCTGAGGTTTGCCTGAGGGTGGTTATGAATTTATACCCCTTGAGTTGGTCCCGTTCTGTGATGTTTTATTAGTGTCTCGTGGGCTGCTGCCAAGATTTGGTAATTATTCTTCTGCAGCTCATGATATGGAAATCTTCCCATTATAGAAATATTGATATCCTTTAAATTCGAAGACTTCAAAATAGATGATAATTAATAGCTTAGAATGCAATTCCATTATTTTGAAACAATAATTCTGTTTTAATGTTGTTGCTATTTCAGTTATGTTTTTTATCTTTTTCAATGGATTATAGTCAAGGTTGTACTCAAGGGGAGAAGCTGTTTCTGAGTCTGGATTAGGTGTGGGTTAGGTCAATCTTTCCTTAGAAAGAATGTTACATATTTTCTTAAAGAGTTTTACAAGAAAACTTAAGAGAATTTCTTTACATATGATATAAAAATAACTATTATGAATAAGGTTTTCAAAAATTTCTCAAAATATGAAAATAAGATTTTTATGCTCTGAGAAAAAGACCGTCAATTAATTGTATCCTTTGGGGCTGGGTTTTTTTAAACCTGTGTTCAGCTTTCATTGTGATTGTGTTAATCTTTTGTCAACTGCCTAAAAACACTTATGTAATTTTTCATCCTATCGAGCGAGGTAATGTATACATATCTTATTAAATTTATGTATACACAACATTTTATTTTAAAGAGATTTACTTCCTTTTAAATTTGTACTATATATATATATATATATGAACAATCCAAAATATTTATCCATATTATTGTTATTAGCAAGAAAAATAATAATTTTTAAAAATAAGTAAATAGTTTTTTCATTTATGCTACCAGCTCTATTTCAATATACTGCAAGTAAATAGTAAAATATAAACTCCCGATTACCCACTTGCGGATCATTCTCGCTTTGCTTTTTTAAATTCTTTAAAAATTTTTTTGCAATGATGAGTGACATGTCATTTAGAATTGAAAATAAATTAATAGATATGGAACCATTTTAAGAGTTTTGAGAACAAAATGCTAACAAACATTCAAGTTTGTATCTCAGGTGTTCACAATGAATCGAATAATGGGTCTGCCTTTAAATAATGTAGCTTTAAGTGCGATAACTAAGTTAAAGTGAGTCTTGAGAGTACGAAAATGGAGAGGCATTTATAAAGAGTAAGTCATGATTTACAGCTTTCAAATTACAAATGAAGTTCAAATTTCAATGAGTAGACTCAGCATCCATCAAAGCTCGTATTGTTGGTATTCAAAGCAATGATATTGATAGCAAGTAAAGAAATTTAGTTTTTTCTGTCTTGTCTTCATAGGATGAATGAATTATCTTCAGTCATTTATTTAGTCAACATGTAGCACATTCTTGAAACTCTTATCAGTTATAAAATTGAGAAATGAGGGTAATCCCCATTACAAGGCTCCTAAAAGAATTAAGCTTGACTTTACAGCCATCAGGGGTCTGTCCAGACATTTTGTGAAAGGTCCTGTTTTTGTAAAATTGTGAAAAAATTATTTATAATTTGTGAATTTAAAATAAGCGTTAAGTCACATTCTTTCAACCAGGGTCCTGCTTTTGTGAATTTGTGCAAATAGGGTCCTGTTATTGCAAAAATTGCTAAAAATCTTTTCAAGAAGTTTTTAAATTGTAAATAGTTACGAGATTCTGATTAACAATTGCTGCTACTAAATTAGAGATGCAACATACAAATATTTGGTATTTAGCCTATACTGCTCAACACAGAATATTCGTTTCGGACAAATAATGGAAGCAAAATCACATTTTTAATAATTTCAATTGACATATTTTAAATAACACAACTTAGTAATGTATCACTTTTAATGTGTTACGCATTAAGTAAACTTAATCAATTCTTAAATTTATAATATTTTGTTTAAAAAATTGCCAGAAATTAATTTTTATTGACATAATATTCTATTAATTAATTTTATGAATAAATTTAAATTAATCAATTATTTATTTACAAAAAAAATTATGATTTAATATTAATAAGAATGCTCACACAATGTTTGTAAAAGTAGAAATATTTTCATGGTATCCACCCACCTGGAAAGTCATGAATTTCAGTATTGAACAAAATTTGTCATGATTTTTAACTATTTTTTGAAAAAGTCATGGATTTAGGTCTCTGAAAAATCTAATTTTTAAAATGGAGTCAAGTCAAAATCAATTTCATCATGTTCCAAATATCTGAATTCCTAACAAAATCACTGCTCACAGTTATATTTTATCAGAATATAAAATGTCTTTGTCATGTTCTTTAAAAATGATGTTCTTTCGAAAAATGAAAGAAAAAACATCATTTTTGGAGAGAATTATCTTTTAAACTTCTGTGATTTAAGAATTTTTATTATTTATTAATTTTTTTATCAATTTAAATTTCAAGCGGAAGCAAGCCAATCATTGGTGAATTTTTTAAATTTCAAAATGAGAACAGACGAATACTGAGTATTTCTTTCCTTTCTGATGAACAAGAAAAGTATCTTTAGAATATAATTCTATAGAAAAAGAAAGAAGAAAAACAAATTTGCTTTTGTATTTTTTCCAGCTATTTTATTGCTTTAACTCTTTCTTGACTCTGTTTTTTAAATTTAAAATCTATAAACATGAAGATGCAGAGTATAACACTTTTGGTTACAATTATCATTTCAATTAATGTTATTATAATGCTTTTTTTAATTTCTTATTGTGTTTTTGTCGGAGAAAATAGTAACTTCAAGTCATGAAAAATTCTTGGAATTAGTCATGGAAAATCATGAAAAGTCATGAATTTGAAAATCTAAAATGTTGCAGATACCCTGTATTTTCTTAGTATACTACATTTGGAATTTAAACTTAGAGAAACTTGGTTTGTCTGGAGCCGTCTTTCTCCCCCCCCCCGAGAAGGGTTTATTCGATTGACAAAACAATAATGAAGATAAACAAATTTGTGAAGGGTCGGATTAAAAGATAAATTGTTTTGTGAAGGGTCCGTTTTTATGAAAAGATATTTTGTGAAGGGTCCGTTTTTCTTCGAAACAGACCCCTGGTCATATACATGATTCCAGAATTGTTGCCTGTTTATTTTTAGTTTTGTTACCAATAATGTAGGACTTTTTTTTGTAATAATACCTACCAAGTTTGCAAAGTTTCTTCCACAGTAGAAAAGCGACTTGTGCTCCATAGTTAAGTATCTTTCAACCCAAGTGGTAGAAATGAAGAAATTCTCTTTTTTTTTCTTTACATTTTTAAATAATAGTAATTTTTACATACAGTTTAAATAATATTACCTATTAATTTCCACCCATTTAATAAATCCTAAAGATTTTTATTATTCTGCACATTTTGTTTGGCCATTCAGTATAGTATTTACAAAATCTAACTCCCCCCTCCTTTCGTTCAATGACCCCACACCCCTACTTGAAATAGTTATACCTCAGTCACCGCCACGTGTTTAGACGAATGACTAGGGGAGTTGTTACTTTAGACAAACTATAGCTCACCTTAAATAGCTCCCTCGTCCTTGTTCTATGAATAAGAAAATTTCATATAGTGTATCAGTGAATACTTAAATAAAGGTTGGATTGATTAGTTATGTTGGCGAATGTTGCACGAAGTTATAAATATATATTTAGAGAAAATACTGTTAGATGAAATAGAAATAAGTTATTACATCATAAAAGAACTAAAGGTTTCAGCACAGCAGAGGAAAACGAAAATCATTAACACGAAATAACAAACTAAAAAATAAAGCACTACTGGAAATGGCAACCTAACTATCGAAAAGGAAGTATACTAAAAAGACCATTGGTTAGCTGAGTTCCGCGAATCAAAAACTTATAATCCGTCGAAATTTTGAAGCTTCTGCTAGACTTTTACACGCATATGATTTTCCCGCCAGTTTGATTCTTTCGTTTTGACAGATTTTCGCCATTCTCAATATTTGGAATTGTGCTAGAATCTGCTAATATTGCGAT